AAGGAGCCACCTGGTTTAACCCTTTCCAGGATGAATCTGTTTGTTTTCTTGGCAGTCCATGGTACATTCAATACTCTTCTCCAGCATCATAGCTCAAAGGCATCAATTCTTCTTCTATCCTCCCTAGTCATTGTCCAACTCTCTGATGCATAACAAGTGATTGCAAAGACCATACCCTGTATCAGGCGCACCTTAGTCTCCAGAGAGACACCATTGCTCTTCAGAACTTTGGAGAGGTACCTAAGAGCAAACTTTCCCATAGATATACACCTTTTAATTTCCTGGCTACTGGTGCCAAGAGTGTTGACAATGGAGCCAAGCAAACTAAAGCTGTGTACAATCTCAATCTCTTCACCATCCATCCTGATGCTACGAACTGGTCCAGTGGTGAGAATCTTTGTCTTCTTGACATTGAGCCTCAGTCCATATTGGAGGCTGCCGTCCTTGACCCTCTGCAGCAAATGCTTCAGGTCCTCCTCAGTTTCAGCAAGCAGGGTTGTGTCATTTGCATACGCAGATTGTTGATAGATCTTCCACCAATCTTGACCCTACATTTCTCCTCATAGAGCCCAGCCTCCTGGATAATCTGTTCTGCATACAGGTTGAAAACGTATGGAGATAGGACGCATCCCTGGCGTACCCCCTTCCCAATTTTGAACTATGCACTGTTCCCTTGCTCTGTTCTGACGACTGCCTCCTGGTCCAAGTATAGGTTTCACATTAGAATAATCAAGTGTTCTGGGATTCCCATTCTTCTCAGAGTCAGCCACAGTTTGTTATGATCCACACAGTCAAATGCCTTTGCATAGTCAATGAAACAGATAGACATTCCTCTGGTATTCCCTGCTTTCAGCTAAGATCCTTCTAACATCAGCTACAATATCCCTAGTACAACGACCCCTTCAAAACCCAGCCTGGACTTCTGGCAGTTCTCTGCCGATGTGTTGTTCCAGTCATTTTTGGATAATCTTCAGTAAAATCTTGCTTGCATGTGAAATCAATGAGCTTTTTCTATAATTTCCACACTCTGTTGGGTCACCCTTCTTTGGACTGGGAACAACTATAGATCTCTCTCAGTCAGTTGGCCAAATGGTTGTTCTCCAGATTTCTTGGCACAACTTGGTGAGCATGTCCAGGGCAGCATCTGTAGCTGAAATATGTCAATTGGTATACCAGTGCCCCATAGTCTAGTTTAAAGTTCAGATTTTTGTTCTTAAGCCTCTTTTTATGTTTTACAGCTTACAATTCGAGTTCCATTGAAAGTTAGGCTGAAATGAAGGTTAATTCAAGATCTGAAATCTACTGTAGAGAAAAAAGTTGCTCTTGAGCAGACTGTCAGGTGAGGTCCATGTGTACAGTCATTGTTTGTGGTTCTTATAAAAGGTTTCCCCAATGAATAAATAATTGATTGTATAGGATTCTATCATTCTGTCTCCAGCCACATTTCTGTCACTGATTCCCGGTTTTCCAACTATTGATTCTTCTTTTCTGTTCCCAACTTTTGAGTTTGGAAATAGTTTCAGAGTAGTGTTTAGGTTTCAAATTGGGACAAACTATAACAGCAACAAACCTCCATTGTCACTGAGTCCATTCGAATGGATAGCAGCCCTATTGGATTTTGAAGCTACAAATCTTGACGAGAGGAGACAACCCAACTCTTCCTGTAGACAAAGCAACACATGATTGTCCAAGCCACTAGTCAATATTTGACTGGTGGAGGTGAAAAACCTCAAGATCTAAAACTGAAAGCCAACTCTTAATTGAGTCTCTAGCTGGTTTCAGAGGCAGTAAATCCCACAGAAGAGTAGCCATCTTTCTCCCATGGTGGACTCGAACCATGTGTCTTTGTGTTAGCAATGCAGTTCTTTACACCTAGGCCACCAAAGCTGCTCATGAATCTTGCTCTTATTGTGTTCCATAACTGACCCTTCAGGAGGTTTTCAAAGGCAGTAAATCACATGGAAGGATATTGTCCCTCTTTATCCCAAGGAGCAGCTGGTAGATGCTAAGGATGTGTATCTAAATCACACATAATTATAATGCTACAGTTTGTTGTTTTTGTTAGCCACCATAGAGTATGACACATAGTGACCCTACCAAAAATAGACAGGAACCCTGCCCTATCCTGTGCCATTCTTACCATCTCTGACACACCTGAACCCATTTATATACTTACTGTGTCAATCCATCTCTTTGAGGATCTTTCTCTCTTTTGCTGACCCTTTACTTTTTCAAACATGATGTCCCTTTCCAAGGAATAGTGTCCAAAGCTTGTGAGACAGAGCTTTCACATCTTTGCCTTTAAGGAGCACTCTGGCTGCAAATTTTTCAATACATACCTGTTTGTTCTTTGGCAGTCCATGGGATATTCAGTGCTCTTCTTCAATACCACAACTCAAAGGCATTAATTCTTCTTCTGTCACCTTCATTCATTGTCCAGCTCTCAGGGGCATAGTTAATGACTGAAAAGGCCATGGTCTGAATCAAATGCACTTTAGTTTTCAAACTAACATTGTTACTCCTCAGTATTTTGAAAGGGTACCCGATAGCTGACTTGCACAATGTAATTCCTGTCCTGTACTCCTGATTGCTCTCACCAAGGATACTGATTGTGAATCAAAATAATATTAAATCGTTGGCAATTTCAATCTTTTCTCTATCTATCATGATGTTGATTGGTCTAGTGGTGAGGAGTTTTACCTTGTTGAAGTTGAAATGCAATCCATTGCAATCCATATTGAAAGCTATAGTCTTTGATCTTCTGCAACAAATGTTTCAAGTCCTCACTTTCAGCAAGCAGGATTGTATTGTCTTCAGTATAATGCACGTTTTTGATAAATCTTTCTCTGGTCTTGATGCGCCACATTCTTCTTTATAGAGTACAGCTTCTCCAATAATTCACTCAGCAAACAGATTGAATATATATGGACTAAGAATACCCCTTGATGCACATTTTTCTGATTTTTTAAAAACCATGTAGTTTTCTACTGCTCTGTTCAGACAGCAGTTTCTTGGTTTAGATACAAGTTTCATATGAATACAATTAAGAGTTAGGATGGCACAGAACAAGACTAGGTTTAGATCTTTTGCTCACACGGTCAATTACTATGAGTCGTACTCGGCTTGATGGCACCTAACAGCAACACTTAAGTGTTCTAGGATACCCATTTTTCTCAATGTTGGACATAATTTATGATCCTCACAGTCAAATGCTTTTGCATAGTCAATAAAACAGACATCCTTCTATTTTCTACTTTCAGCAAGGATACATCTGCCAGCAGTAACGATATCCCAGGTGCCTTGGTTGGTAAGGTGGTTATTGTCATCTGGTTCTAAATGACTATAACTGACCCTCTAGTGGGTTTTCAAAGGCAGTAGTAAATCACACAGGAGGAGTTGCCCATCTTTCTCTCTGGGAGTAACTGGTGGATTTGAAACAGGTACCTTAAAAAAGTTCTGCAATAGATTATTTTGAGAGTAGTTTGATCGCCCTCAGAAATAAACCATGGTAATAGACACTATGACCATCTGCAACATTTTCTTGTCCATGCTATTAACTCTCCAAAGAGTTTGGTTACACATTGACAGATCTTTGGCTGCATAGCCTTAGGGGGTTATGCTGCCATCTCATAGGTGGCGCCTCCCCGACAATCTCCATCTATGGAGTTTAGTCTCTGAAAACTCGCCTGAGTGCCAGTTATGGACTTGACTGGAGTACTAGGGTTAGTTCCTAAGCAACAGGTTTAATTCTATACGAAATGTAACCTGCAACTTTTGGAACTAGTGTAGATGTTTTAGGTCTGAGTTCTGTATGCTATTTTATATCGTATCATCCAATGTTCGTGGTATCATGTTCTGTACGGAAACACGAAAAGAAGCGTTGGATGACGCTCAGAAGTAAGCATTAAATTCTTGTGCTTTCAGGGTGCTTTATTAGTCTCTGAGAAGGAACTGGAAATCCACGGAAACTGCTCTGCATAAAGCCAACAGGTAATGCTGGGCCCAATAGATTCACTCAAGCAGTTCTGGATCCCATAGTACAGCCCTAAAACTCCCTGGAAAGCCTCCCATCCAAGGACAGGAGTGTCACAAACCCTTCTTTGAAGCCAAGCACGTAGGAGAGAACTAGGAGGGCAGGATGTACGTTTGGAGCCACCATGCGTGCAGAAGCGACGCAATGTGCGGTTCGGCCGAAGGACAGGGGGGCGCGCCTCGGCCTCTGCGAGGCCACAGCAGAGGAAAGGCTGGAGGGGGAGGTCCGGGGCCGCGGGCGCAGGCGCTCCCCGCGCGCGCACAGCTACCTCGCCGCCCAGCCCTCTGCGCGGTCCAACCTCGGCCGAGGCGGGGAAAAGGCGCGCGAGCCGCGGCTCCGAGGACCCGCCCCTTCGCCTTCCTGAGCCGGAGGGCGGGCGGGCTGCACCGGGAGGCGGGGCCCCGCGGCCGGCTGTGTCTGCTCCTCGGCTGCCTCCGCGCTCGCAGACGCTCGGGGGAACATGGCGGCGGCGGAGCCAGTGGTCCCCGCGCTTCCCAACAGCGGCGGCGTGGGCGGGGGGCCACCGTCGGGCTCGGTCCCCGTGCTTTTCTGCTTCTCGGTCTTCGCGCGGCCCTCGTCGGTGCCGCACGGCGCGGGCTACGAGCTGCTCATCCAGAAGTTCCTCAGCCTGTACGGCGACCAGATCGACATGCACCGCAAATTCGTGGTGCAGCTCTTTGCCGAGGAGTGGGGCCAGTACGTGGACCTGCCTAAGGGCTTCGCGGTGAGCGAGCGCTGCAAGGTGCGCCTCGTGCCGCTGCAGATCCAGGTGGGTCCCGCGGGAGGGCCGCGTGCCCCGCTGCCCCGAGTGTCCCGGCGCGTCTCCGCCCCCGGCGCGCTCCTCAGGTGATCGGCACCCGGCCCTGCCCTGCTCGCCCGGCAGCCTTGCAAGGGCCGCGCCGCTGCCGCCAGGTTCGGGCTGCCTCAGAGAATGTGCCTGGACAAGGTGACAGTCTCCAGCTGTCTTGTCTCGGGGCGAGGGCGTGGGCCTCCCAGCTGGTGGCGGCGCCTGTGAACGCCCCCCCACGTGCATGCTCACCGCTGCCGGCGTCCGCTTTGTGCATCTGAGCCGGTTCCCGTTCTCCTGTGTCCCTGGAGGGTTGTACCATAGCTGTGCCTTCGTTCTCGGATCTTGAGTTGATAGTAGGACGAGGAAAAAGATCCTGGACAGTGTTGGCCATAGGGTTTTGTTCCCTAGAGTTGTGCTAATCACTTGCAGAAACAAAGTTTAGGAGTCAGACCCTTTCTTCCCATTTCTCAGCTCTCATGTCCTTGGACTCAACCCTCCCCAGACCTTAAGTAAAATACTGCTCAGCGCCTCCTAGTAAATGTCAAGGGAAGCTGTTGATGCGTGTCGCCTACAAGAAAAAGTCATTTGGCCTCAGGATTGTGATGCCCTTTTAAATCCTGAATTTAAACTAGACCTGGTCGTGTATTCAGCACTGTTTGAGAGTTTTGTGGGTTTTTTTTCCTTCTTAGCAGCTGTGCCCAAGTACTAGGCAGGTCACTTTTTCTTTGCCTTTTTCATCCTCTGAACGTTCAAGAGGATTTATATTTTTGAGAATAAAAATTTCGATAGTACACTATCAACATTTGTTCCTTAATTGAGGTTTAGGAATGATAAACCATTTCTTTAACTTGTAAACTGAAATGTGAGATTCTGGATTAGAAGGAATTTTAGTTTTTCAAGTGCCATTCATCTTCTGAGAATTATTCCCTAGTTTTGGGTTTGGTTTTTTTTGGGGGGGGTTTGGTTTGTTTGTTTTCTTTTTAATGCTATAGTCTGCTGCAGAATTGACAATGCATCCTATCATACCATTTAAACGTGCAAAACAGTGCAGAGGACACTCTGAGATTCCCTTATCCAGGCTTGCAGAGCTAAGAGGAGTCAAGATGGTCTCTGATACCCAAGAATTTGCTTATCTGCCCATGTATAGAACTGCTGTTCTCAGGTACTCACCACTCCCAATTTTTATGTCTTCAAGAGTTTTCTGGCTGACAGTTCTGAGCCATCTTTGACAGTCTATTTAGGTTACCACTGCCAAAATATACAAGAAGTTGGATGCACCTTTGACAAATCTATTTGTAAAAGCTGAATCCACGTTCTAATTGAGAAGGTCACTGAGCTGTGTTCAAGATGCAGACTTCTTTGTAAACATTTCCTGTTACGGTTGAAATGTTAAGTTAGGCCCAGCTTTACCTAAGACAACCACACACAGTACTGGTGCCATGTAACCCCAACGTGACAGACAGTGGTTTTGGATTTTTGGTTAGCAGCACACCATGCTAAAGACACCAGAGCTTAATAAGATTTTTGGGTTTTGAAGATGATTTTTATCTTGAAAATTCCTTATCAAGGTATTCTTTTCAGGCCTTGATCTGACAACTTTATTAGATTAGAAATTCTAGAAACTAACATAAACAGGGTATGTTTGCAGTGACTTGTATCTTCTTAAAAGATGTATGTGATTTAAGTCACTTGTGACATTTGAAATATTTTGCTTGGAACAGGGGCCAGTCCATAGTTAATTTTTTTATGTAACATTTGCAAACATAATTCTCTTTATCCTAGAAATTTTTGAGCATTAGTGATATGCTATTTTGAGTATTTCAAATGATGTAAAATATTTTCCACTTCTATTATTTCCTAGTAATTGTAACACTTTGACATTCTTCAGCCAGGCACCTCTCCTAGCTTAAAATTGATAATGTGGTCAATCATGTTCTGACAGATTTGCAGAGACTAAGAAAGGAAACATATTTGTTACCTTGTCTTCTTTACTGTATTTTTTTTTTAAGCACTAAACAGTATAATTCTAAAGATGCGAACATTTTATAGCCAGAAGAGATCATAGAGTTTATTCCACTAACATTTGAGTGATAACTTTAAGTGCCTGATGCAGGGAACATGTGATTCTCTTCCAAGAATCTGACTCTTTGATTTTGCAGAAGAGAAGAACATAGAGAGGCTGAGAGGTTAGGAAATTGCTGGAACTTACACTGCTAGGTAATGAAAGACCTGGCATTTTGTGTAGGTTTTCACACCACGGCATTCATGCTTTGGCCTGTGCTTGAATCCCTAAACTGGAAGTTGTAACATCATTTGTCTCAAATGCTGTCCATTGGAATAGGTTCCTGCCACTTTGGAAGACTATGCTACCTATCAGGGAGGAGCAAAGGGTACTTGTTTAGTGACTTGTCATCCTCTTTTTAATGATGTTATTCTTCTTTGTCCACTTCTATGGCATAGGCTCACACATATACTAGAATTCAGTCTTAATTTTCATCGTGGTCTGCGTTTGCTTGCCAGCTTTTTCTGATTGTGGTCACTATGATTATTCCTTTTAAGAGGGCATGTGCCACACAGTCCCTGTGGTTTGTTAATAATCCTATGGGAACTGATCTTGAAGACTCCAACTGCCTGTGGTAAATTCTGGTAACTTTGTAATGTCGTCTTAAATATTTTGTCAAAATGACTGAGTGTCTGCTGACAACTCAGGTAGCTGAAAGAATAGCTCATGTATCATGCATGGTGGTCTGTAGCTATGTGTAGTTTTGTCAGTGCTTAAAGTCTGATGGATTTTAAGAACCAAGGGAAGATGTAAATGAGAAGATTATATGGTGAAAATTTACAACTATACGTTCTTACAGCTTTCAAGTTTTGATTTTTCAGAAAGTATTTTCCAAGTTTTAAATACTGGCAACATTTAACGTCTGAAATGTGTGAATTTGGTTTCATACCCCCACCCATGTTCCAGCCTGTCAGTAGGAAAGGCAGAACCTTAAAGGGAGGTGAAAATGGACATTATCTGAAAGTGAGGGGAATTTGTTTCTCAAAGTGGAGAAGTGGCTTCATATGGACAGGAGGGCCTTTTTCGGAGGATTATTTTGACACTTTGTTGAAATAATCATTTGGGTACGATTAACCCTAGGTTTTGATGTTTCTTTATGGTTATTTTTTCCCTCCAAAACTAGTAAACTAGTTATGCATATTTTGTAACAAGTGCATGTTGGAGAGGAAATGTGGGCAAGATTTGGCAAGAAGAGGGAAAAGGAGTGTTTGTTTCCCTTTTGACTTGCTGGTTTGAAGGCTGGCTTCCACCCAGCTTATTCTACTTCAGCCCGTTGCAGAGACTTTGCATTGCCATCTCTGATAATACTGAATCTGAATCTGTATATTAATACATTCTGTATATGTTACTTGTAAATACCTAGGAATTTTGTTAAAATTCAAATTCTGATTCCTAAATGGCAAATGTGTATCATCAAGGTGTTCTTGAACTGCACTGAACCAGTTTGAATGCCTGGTTTGAAGATGGATCTTTTTTTTTTAATTATTGGACCTTACTGCAGTAGCCTGGATGGCAGAGAATGTGGATGTGGAAATGAATGCTTACAAATTCTGAATAAAGAAACAGACAGGATAGATTCTTCTCTCTGTCTGTATTTTTGGGTAGGAAGCGGTATCAGAGTTACTGAGAGACAACAACTGGATCCTGAGGTCATGATGTTGACTGCCCTGCGTTACTTATATAAAGAAGTTTCTCTGTGTTTGTGGGTAGTGATAGGGAGGGTGAGAGAATGTAATAGGCCTGATTAATTCCCAAAGAAAACATTGTTTATACTGTTTGCCACTTGTGAATGCATTACAGGCTACCTGTTTGAGAATGAGACCTATGCTCTGCACTTGCAATTATTTTTCTTTCATTCTATGAGCCAAGAGAAATCCTAATTACTTCATTTTGTAGACTTATGTGTCATTGTGCTCCTGGGCTTTCTCCAGCTTCACCTTCACCCCAGTCTGAAATAGTCTTAAGAAATCCCTCCTAGTCCTTTGGTGGGTAGAGAGAGCTTGCTTCCCTTGGGAAGTCAGAAAGCTCACACTTTTTTCCTGATAAGCTACAATTGTAATATTATGCCAGTGGCATGCATTCACAATAGGTGACTAAAGTACGTCATAAAAATAAGAACACAATAGTAACTTCCAGTCTAAATTAAAAAGCCTAAAAGTTTTTTGCCAGGATCACTTTATGTAATATTACTGTGTCTTGCTACATCTGCATGTCCAGTTTATGAATTCGTTTACTAATTCTGCATGTTATGGTGACCTATGGTAAGGAACTGCACTGCCAACTCAAAGGCACGTGGTTCTAAGCCATCATCTGCTTTAAGGGAGAAGGACGCGCAGTCTCCCCCCTCTGTGATTTACTGCCCCTGAAAAGCCCCAGGAAGGTCAGCTGTAGATTCCAGTTCTATGATAGACAACAATAACATACATGTTTATAGATTTCTTAGTAATCTTAATAATAAGTGGTATTTTAGCTTCATTAGAGAATAAGTTTCTTATTCTCAGCTTTAGTACGAAGGATGCTCTATGTGCGAAGGATGTTGAAATAACCAAATGCACATTTTCAAAACCCTTTACTGTAGTGTAGATGAAGTTTACACAGTAAATTCGTTTTCTATTCAAGAATTTGTAGACATTTTGTGACATTGATTGCAAACCCGTTAGTATAACGTTTTTCTATTTCCTCCTGCAATCCCAGTATCCCATGTATCCTTTTCTTGTCTTCTGAGCTTTGTTTTGGGTACATGCTGCCGTTTGGTCCCATATGGTTGATTCTACTGATAATTATATTCCTCTCTAGTGTTACTAAATGTGTTTATTGATGGATTGCATGTAGCTCATTTATTCCTTGAAATCGATACTATTTTCCAGATGAGGGAACTGCAGTTTAGAGCTGTTAAATGATTTGTCAGCATGTATAT